GACCAAAATCTACCAAATCTGCTCAGAGGCTCCCAAATCAATCCACCCAAAGATTGTAGTTGGGAAACTTTCCTGTGGGAATTATCAAAGAGCTTGAAACCTGCAGCATCATTCCTTGTATGTTTGTTTTTAAATAATATACATGCTATTACAATCAACATTATTTGTATCACAAAATATATATTAAAAGAGACTGCAAAAGGAAGAAATTACAAACACACACAGCTCCTTGTAAAGCTTGAATAAGTCTCTGAGTACCATTTGTATCTTGTATGAGTTTTTATGTCAGTATTATCTTCAATCCATAGTTTCTTAGCTGGGAACTTACATGCCTCTTGTCCATTTTGGGGGGTATTAGTTTAGTGAAAACTAGAAAGTAAAACTGTAGCACAACTAAGTAGGGACACTTGAAATTGAATCCACTAGGAGCAGTGTTTTGTTGAGTGGATGTTTCATACCTGCTTCAGCATATCTGGAATTCCGTATGTGACTCTAAACAGTACAGAAACTAAGTAAGGACATAAGGATCAGGCCACATATCATCGTTCTTGGCCTCCAAACAACTAGTAATACCATCCCAAACAAAATAGGTTCTTCTTGTCTTCTCTCTTAGAAAATCCAAAATCCCCAGGAAACCCCATGCCTTCTATGATGTGTCCTTCGTTACTTCTCTGTGCCTTGCTCACTTACATCACGGAACTTTCCTAAATGATGTACTTGGCCATAAAGAACTCTCTAGCCTTCTCATGTAGGTCTGGAGACAGTACAATAGGCAGAAGAAGAATGCATTTACAATAAATAAGACAGCCAAGGAAGAATTTCCCTGTGCGGGAGTCAACTGCATTTCACGACCTTCTGACAACTAGATGGACTACTTCCCACAACTAGTTTTTCCCTTCTAAAATACTCGGCAGGTAAAAACACCTGCCCAAGCCTACCTGAAAGCCCATACAAGCCTGCATTTGTGTATTCAGAAGGAACTCCAAAACTTTTCTGTTGAATGAAAATGTGATTTCACAAGGAATGCAATTTCCTTGATTTACAACAAATGCATGATTTTAGTTAAACAAGCACATTTTCTTTAATTTTCTGCTTAAGACTTTGAAAATGATGTATGTAATAAAGATTATTTGCAATACTCATGGCTGATGCATTATGTTCACAACCACACAGTTTAACATGAAATTTAAATTCAGCCAATAATTCCAAGGTGACAGTTTTATCTACAAAGGTTCCATTTCAACCAATTTATTTAATGGAATAATTTGGAGCACTCATTAAACGGATCCAAACAACACTGAACAAAAGTAAAAGGAACTAACTTTCAAATGCATTTTGATAATAGAAACTATTGCTGTTTTTAAAGCAATGAATCTGAGCCTCAAATGTGAGTGTTAACTGTATAATTTCTTATTAGAGAGATGCAAGGAAGATAGCAGTTTAATCATTGTGAAGATATAAACTCAGAAAAAATCTGCCATCCTCACATAAAACACTGATACACAAATATTAAGACATCAAGTAAAATATATGCCATGAAAAGTAACAAGTGAAAACCTTGAAAAATAAGACAAAATTAGAGAGTTCAAACACCCATTATGCTTCAACTCACTCCATTAGATTTCCATTGCTTTCTAGATGCATTGCATATAAGTAGTTCCAGAAGTGAGGTGATTTTCCTTATTATATGGTCTGAAATGGCAATGATTGAACACTCTGCATTTTCTTTGGTAATAGAAAGTATGATTTATGGGAGAAGAATAAGATTCAGAGAAAACCACTCAATAAATGATTCAATTTGTAGGTCAAGCTCAGTTAGGGCAAATTTTCTTCATTACTGCCAGTATGCAGAGTATAGTTTACTTGGTAAGAGAGTGATTTTGAGGTGAATACCTGGGATTGCTTTGTGTTTAGGATAATTTGTGTTTAGGATAATTTTGTGTCTGACATATATATGTACATATATCTACATAAAAACCCCTCTTAAGTCACAATTTATTCATTTGAAAAATTGAATAGTAAGAAGAAGTATGCCTCCAAGTGTAAGACACACACAACTGGTACTATTCAAGATAACTGGTACAGGGATGGATATATTTTTAGAACTTATTTTAACACTACTTAATACATATGAGAAAGATAATTAGCATATTCAACAAAAATTTTAGAGATGTTTGTAGGTAGCACCATCGAAATTTCTCTTTTCTTAGAGATTTTTTTTAACTTGCTAATAACTTCATTTCCACCAATATGGACATTTTGAAAACTGAAGTTGTCTACATAACAGGTTCAAATGCTAGAGGAAGAAGTGTTAGTGGGTTTGGTGAGAATTAGAGCAAAAAGTGATACAACATTCAAGAAAGATTTGGCACAGTACTGGTGTGTACAAATAACTCAACTGTTGAGGTAGGTGTTTCGCTCAGCAGTTAAGATAGGAGTGCATGGGTTGGAGTCCCTGCTCTACTTCTGATTCCAGCTTTCTGCTTAAGCACACCCAGGGGGCAACAGGTGACGGCCAAAGTACATGGGTCCCTGTCATCCATGTAGAGGCCTGGATTGAGTTTCAGGTTCCTGGTTTCAGCTGGCTCAGCACAAGTTGTTGCAGCCATCTGAAGGAATGAATCAGCACGTGGAAGATCTCTCTCTTTCCTCCCTTCCTCTCCCACTCTATTCTTCTCTCTCTCTCTCTGCTTTTCAATAAATAAATTTGTTTAGAAATAAACTCAAGGACTGTTTTATATTTTTTCCTATGACCTAGTATTGTCTTATTACCATATGGCTAATAAACCAAACATACTCCATTCTAGCATAAAAGAAGTTTAAGATTATACCTGGGCAACAAAACTATCATATTTTATTTTCAAATGATTTACAAATGAAATGGGTCACCAAAAAATGAGTAAAAATAAAAGAAAACCCTAGAAAACATTGGCTGGGTGTAAAGTTCACAGAGGACAGTTGACAAGGACCTGGTAAACTTAAAAAACAAACCATTTATCATAAGGATACTGTGTGAAAATATATGCTGCAAAAACACTTGGGCTAAGATCACTTGGCCTATGAAATCTGAAAAATCATTATACTTAGCAAATAGCACCTACACTATCTCCATAAACTTTAACTTAGGGTATGTGAAATAAGGAAGAGCTGTCTGCTTGTTTTTTTCCAGCTCATCGAATAATGTAGTACATATCACCGTAATTCAAATCTAAAAACATTTCTGGTAGTTTTACTGAGTTCTGGATAAGTAATTTATCAAGGAAAAAAGGGCAATGTTAATATTTAATATGATAACGTTTGGATATTTCACTTCTTCGATGCATGTTACAAGTTTCTAACTTAAAAGCAACTGAAGTTAATATTTTCCAGCAAGTGAAATTTCTTGGGAAAATATACACTCAAATTTTATGAATGCTTTTGCTCTTTCAAAGAAAACATTCTAAATTTCTTTAATCAAGATATAGAAGAATTTTAATATTTTTATGTTTTGATTCTCATAGCAAACTAACAATCAATTTTCTTTTACCATAAAGGAATGATCATTAAATAATCATAATTAATACCCAACATAAAATCCCAATGCTGTTACTCACAATAAACTGAATTCTATAGTAAGAACAGTTCTTATGGCAGAGAGAGAAATGGGTACAGAATTTGGCTCAGTCTGGTAAAACTCCAAATATGGGTAGGCCATGTAACAGCAGAATTCATTGGAAGTTTCCCTTTGATTGACCTGCAACAATTTCTTACCCAGAAAAGAGGGCTATTGATAATGAATAAGCCAGACTCTCAAGACTAGGGCTAAAACTCAGAGATGCCATGCAATGAGAGTTAGCATATGATGAATGGCATGTCTTTAGAAAGCCAGCAGAAACTGATCAGTGACACTGAGTGCTTCTCTGTGTGTTCAAGAATTCAAATACATTCATTGTAAATTTAAAAGCAATTTTTCCATTTCTTGCTTGAAAGTTCTAACACAATGACAATTATTAGATAGTACCAAAAGGGAGCTCCTTCATAGAGGTGAGTTTTTTATCTGCAAAACAAACCCATCCTTTGAAATAGCCTTTTAGCTTTTCAAGATATTTACTGACTTCATCATTATTAGCAATTGAACTGGCATTAGAAATACTCTACTGATTTTGATCTTTGACCTTCACTGAATATGCCTTTTTATCTCTTACCACATTATACTCTCCTAACAGTAATCTTATAAAAATAATGAGAATAATAACACATTTCCAAGAATAGCACCTGTTTTAAGAGTAATACCATAAATATATATAATAATATTTCTCTGAGCCCAAATAAATAAAATCTCTTTTTGAGAGATAGAGGTATCTGAAATTTTAACAATCTGGAAAAATATAAATTTTAACGTGCTTTCCTGACAAAAACACATTTAATCATATTATCCATTTAATTATCAAAAGGTTACTAATAAAGTTGAAAATTAATTTAGTACTTTTTAAGCTGTTTTTTAAAGTCATAGGTTCATGGGCTAAAGAATCAGGTAACATTTTACAGTCTAAGTTTTGACTCACTCTCTAGCCATAAACCATACAGATTATTCCAACAAAGTTACACTGAGAAAACTTGTTATAAAATCAAATGGTCCAACTACAGTGCCAGTTTAATTTTATTTAAGATACCACTTAACAAGGTACAAAATGAAAACAAATTTAGGGTCCATTATATGTTAAGGCTATCCTTATAAAATGTATCACATGAAGCTATTATTTTTAATTATCTTCCTTTTGAAGTATTTAACTTCAAAATATTAGAGATAACAATATGCATATAATATATGACTATAATGAATTCTAGAAGTTTTTCAACAACTTGACAACCATAAGAAGAATTAATAGCAGACTTGGTCAGAAACAGGCATTTGGCTTGATTCTTGCAGAAATTACATACTGTGAACTCATATTTTCAAACAAGCTCTAAATAGTAGAGAAGTCCTAATGAAAGAGAAATCCAATAGACTTTGTACTTACTGTGCAGAGGCAAAGTGTTTCTAATGCACTGTAACTCTAGTTCCTCAGCCCATTCCTTCTTTGGGAAGATCTGCATTATCTCACAGTTACCATTCTCTGCCAGGGACACAAGTTGGCTATTCACTGGTATCTTTCTCCAAGGCTTCATGTGCTGTTGAACTTCTGCCAAAAGAACAGCTTGTATTGCTTCAGTTACCTGTAAAGTTTCACCATGAATTATTTTGAGTATTGTTACAAAGACCTGGAGGTCTTTTTGAAAAATCCAAACTTTGGAATTTTTATTTAGAAAAAAACTTTACCATAAATGATAATGTTCTGTTCTGCTAGAATTAGTAGCCAAAGCAATTAAAATGTGGATCATAAGAACTGGGACCCTCACTTTGATGTTGCAATTATAAATACAAGAGATTCTTAATGGGAACGTGGGAAGAGTTTTCAATTATTTCTATTTAAGCCATTTTCATTTTTCCTGAAGATAAAACTCATTTTAATATATCACTCAAAGATAAGGTTAGCCCCTCGAATTCTGTCTAGTCCTAATGTTATTTGGCTAAGACCACTGGGTTCAAGTGCTGTTTAATACAGAAGATTGGGGCTGGCGCTATGGTACAACAGGTTAAAGCCCTGGCCTGGAGTGCTGGCATCCCCTATGGGTGCCGATTCTAGTCCCGGCTGCTCCTCTTCTGATCCAGCTCTCCGCTATGGCCTGGGATAACAGTTGAAGATGGCCCAGGTCCTTGGGCCCCTGTAACCATGTGGGAGACCTGGAAGTGGCTCCTGGCTCCTGATATGCACAGCTCCGGCTATGGTGGCCATCTGGGGAGTGAACCAACAGATGGAAGATCTCTCTCTCTGTCTCTACCTCTCTCTGTAACTCTGTGTTTCAAATAAATAAAATAAATCTTAAAAAAAAAAACAGTTACAGAAAAAAGGTTAATGATAACATCACTCAACTAAGTATATGCATATGTGGTTTTATGTAGATTAAAATACTTGGCAAGGCATGCAACATACTTGTGTATTCTCAGTCAAGGACTTGTGGTTGGGTGGAGGGGAGGGGGATGTTTGTCACAGAGCATCTAATGAAATATCTTATTTTAAAAATGAAAACCCAGGGGCTGGCACCGTGGCTCACTTGGTTAATCCTCCACCTGCAGCACCAGCATCCAATATGGGTACCAGGTTCCAGTCCTGGTTGCCCCTCTTCCAGTCCAGCTCTCTGCTGTGGCCCAGGAGGGCAGTGGAGGTTGGCCCAGGTGTTTGGGCCCCTGCACCCTCATGGGAGACCAGGAGGAAGCAGCTGGCTCCTGTCTTTGGTGCTGGCCATAGCGGCCATCTGGAGAGTGAACCAATGGAAAGAAGACCTTTCTCTGTCTCTCTGTCTCTGACTCTGTCAAAATTCAAAAAAAATGAAAACCCAGAGGAAACATCTCTGGGTTACATAACTGTTGGGCATGCCTTCTGACTTTAATTCTGTGTTCTTTATATGGTATACGTCCATCCAAGATTCTGTGTCTTCACCCCTCAGTGCAGAAGCTAGGGGAGTCTGCCAAGAACCCTGACTGCTAAGAAATAAGGATGAGCACAGGAGTTAGGAACAGCCCAATAAAAGCCAAGAGTTGAATCACAGGGGGAAAAGGGGCATTTCTGGTCTAGGCAGACTTAGGATACCTCCCTTCCACCCTTCCTTGGCCAAGAGTTCTGCCACAACCCAGGACCTGCTCCTTTGCCCTCAGAACTATGCCCTCTGTCAAGCTGGTTCAAGTTCCATCATTAGTGGATGTGGTGATCTGGAAACACTGTCATCATAAACAAAACAGGGGTATTCACCCTCAATCTCTTTTGTGAGTCCTGGCACCATGTGGGGCATTTATGCTCCAGGGCCATCCAGAGAGCTAATGCTAATGACAGATGCTCCCTACATTACTTGGTGCAAAGAGCCGGGCCTCTGACTTTAAAATATGAAAGTTTCCTAATAGTACTGGAGTGGCGTCCTAATCACTGATTTCCCCCAGTTCGTGTCCAGCTTACACTGAAATAAATGCTTGATCAGGGAGTGAAACAACACCAAGTGGTACACCACAACTGCATGCAACCCACCTAACTACTTAAAGCATGAGTTTCATAAAGAATTTGAGAATTTGGTTATGCAAGCATTTAAAGAGATACTTGGCAAGAGTCTATACTGGTCATGAGGGCCCAGGGAATCTCACGACTGTTTTACATATGAGGAAGATAAAAAAGCCAACAAGTTAAACCTATCTTCCAGAGTCATGCATCAGACTAATAGCAGAAATGAGAGGAAGATTTTGAAGCTTGGGCTTCCAGTAGAATAGCATAGGCTAGAGCAATATGTGTCTTATTGCCAGCATTTCACACAAGGAGATAGGATCAAGAGACTTAAGTGTCCTTAAGCTTAACCATTCCCAAATCACATTTGATTTCAGGGTGGAAAAAATGGATCCTGATTTTGTGTAAGATTCCCAAGTGTAGGCACTTAAATGTCATGGCACATTTTGAAATCAAATAATGGATGACTCTCTCGCCAACTGAAGCCCCAGTAGGCAAGAAGTTAGCTATGATAACATGAATCTCCCTGCTCTCAACCTTGTACCCCTACGTATGTTATTTTACAGCACTTCCCTCATCTCCATCTCTGCATCAGGCTTGTCAAAAGCAACATCCAGGGAGGACAAGAGTAACTACTTCTCATTCTGTCAAGTAAAAAGAAGCATCAATGTATCACAGCAGCAAGGAACTCATAACTTCAAGACCGTGAGCAATGTCATACCTGTACAGACTGATCTCTCCAATAGGAAATCAGCTTCACAAGTGAAAGGTCAGCCTCAGGTATATGGGATTCATTCTTACCTAGAAATAAACAGCACACATCTGTATTTTGAGAGTATTAGAAATCATGTCATTCAATGGACCTTAGTCTTGGCTGCTCATTCTAATCTGTTGAGAAGTTTGATTTTGCAGACACAAAGCCCAGGCTCGATATTCCAGACCTTCAGGTATAGTAGGTCCCAGAGAATGGGTTGAGCAGGCATGTATACTTTTACAAAGCACTGATTTTCATGTACCTTTCTGGTCAGGAACTATTCACATACACACGCATGTATATGTATGTCTATCAGTTATACTACACAAGTTCATGTGAAAGCCAATCCATTTTTATACTTTAAACCATTCTTTGCACTTTTTGCTAACCCAAAACGGATCACCAAATTTTACAATTCTGTGTTCATACAAATAGTCCTTGAAATTCTATCACGCTATGAATCAGTATTTATCACATATAAAATCAAATCAAAGACTTCCTTTGATTTCTCCTTGCCTAATTCTTCCATTCTGATCAATAGGTAAAGCACTAATGTGTCAATTTGACTCATTTTGTTATGTATTGTTTCTTTTAAGTTTGCCCTCTTTAACGTCCTTTCTATCTATTTGCCTTAATGTTCAGTGTGAAATTTTTAGAGTGAGCTAGTGCTTGGTCTATTTAAATTGATCCATAGAGTGTCCAGCAGTCCTTTACACAAAAAAGCACTTAATAAGTGCCTTTTCATTAATTGAAAATGTACATATAATCATCTGAATGTAAAATCAATGAATGAAGCCCTTCTGATGGCCAAAGTATATTATCTAGGTGTCAGATCTTGGAAGTGAGTTAGGGAGGAATGAAAAGGGCTTGCACTGGCGGGAGAGTTGCTACCATAATTGTCTATTTAAATTAATGTATTAATGTGTGTTTGACATCCTAGTATCAACTATTTAAATATTTGCTCAATATGCTTTTCACTGAATTGCCACTCTGTGTATTAATATATTACTTTTTTAGACCTATTAGTCAAGAGAATGTGATAGAAGCTTTTGGATATAATGCAAATTGAGACTAGAAAGAAATAAAGAAACTTCTTTTTAAAATTTATTTATTTATACTTATTTTTCATTTTATTAGGAAGACAGACAAAGAGAGAAACAGAGACAGAGAGAGAACTTCTGTCCTCTGGTTTGCTCCCCAAATGTCAGCAAGAGCCAGAGGTAGGCCAGGCTGAAGCCAGGGTTCCCATGTGGGTGGCAGGGACCCACGTCATTGACCGATCATCTGCTGCCTTACAGAGGGCACATTAGCAGGAGGCTAGCAGAGGAGCGAGGACTCAAATTGGGCATTCCAATTTGGGGTGCAGGCATCTCAAGGGGTGTCTCAACCATTGTGCCAAATTGTTGCCCCTTATTAAGAAATCTCTAAATATTCTTTTTCCTGATGGAGCATATGACTGATAAGACTGCAAGCCATACATAAAACATGCAAGTCCGATAGAGCACTACGATTTTCAAGTCCTATTTTTCATTTCTTCATGAGCACAGCTGCTAAGAGAAATTTTTCTTTTGATCTCTTTTCTCCCTCTCATTTTGTTGACCTTGTGCCTTAACCATCAAAGCCCAGTATCGGCCTCAATCGTAACTACTTACTGGCATCATGGGGTAGTTCACAGTGCACTTTAATGTGATGTTAAAATTTTAATATGAGATAGAAATGAGAGCCAACTTTTCCTGGCAATGTCAGCGAGTTAAAGAATTAATTGTAACTTTGGGAGGAAAGATAAAAAGAAAACATCCCAGGCTTTCCCATATTGCTCAGCCACCATTGGTGCTGCCTGAAATGAGGATTGGTTCCTGTCAAACCTTCTGAATGTGCACTTCTGCTCTTGCTTCATTCTTCAGGATTTGTCTCTATAAAATTAAACCAGGAAGTGAATCCTTGCTTTTCTTTTACTCCCCATCTTCCTATTACTTAAAAGCAACCCATGTTTCCTTGGCCCCTAACTGAATTTTAAATGCTATAAATGCCACCCTAGCCACCAGGGAGATTTTTCAGTAATAACACTAGTTGCTCAGGCTGCTTTGTTTGGCACAGCCATATGAAAATCAAGGGCCTACTCAGCTCTGGCTGGCAGTTCCCCATCTTTGTAGAATTATGTGTGTTAAATCCTAATTCCAATCCATTTCCCAGTGACATGAAAAAATGAAAACTGGTTAACGAACCCTAGTAAGAGCAATTATGTACAGAGGAGGCAGACAATCCAGACTTGGACCATGCAGAGAGAACATTATGTGTGATCACAAGTATGAGTAGTGGCCTCAAACAGCAGAAAGAGAAAGTTCAGAATCAGCTTTGGGTTGGAATGCCGGCTTCTAAGCCCAGTGGCTGTGAGACTGTGAATGAGTCATCTAACTTCTCGAAGCTCCACTTTCTCTAAAGGCACCTTGTAGTGTGCAGCATTGTTTCCATATTAAATGAGAAACTACAGGTAAATCCATCAGCAGAATTCTTAGAATACACCAGGCACTCAATAATTGAAAGCTATTAATAAACTCTCATATGAAAACACTTTAAATATTCCTCTCTGTACTCCTGTGAGGACCACAGCGCACTGTTTACTGTTAGGGCCATCCCATTATGTAGGTCACTTGATGTAGAACTTTGAAAGCACAATGCACATTCAGTCTGAAACCTTACTCCTTCTTTACACATGTAGTGAATAGGGCTTTTAAAAGATTAAAAAAAAGACATGCCCTCACTACATAAGTAGTAGGTGGCAGAGCTGCATCTTGAACCTTAGCCCACTATCTCATTTATCTCCAAAAGCATGACAGAAATCTCTATCCCTCAGCTGTATTCATCCATTAACTTTATTCATCTAATAACCCAAATATTATTTGTTTAATTCCTTCTAGGTATTGTTTCAGGAGCTGGGAATACAGTGAAAAATAAAAGTCATGAAAATGTGATACCCCCTTGAGAACATGCTTGCTCCAGAGGTTAAGTTGCCACTTGGGATGTTCTCATTCCATACTGGAGCACCTGGGTTTACTTTCCAACCCTACTCTCCATTTCAGCTAGAAGGTCCCTGCCACCCACATGGACGACCTGGATTGAGTTGTTCCATTCTCCTGGCTTCAGCCTGGCTCAGCCCCAGCTATTGTGCATATTTAGGAAATGAACCAATGGACTGGAAGATCTCTGTTTCTTTTTGGCTGTCTAATTCTCTTTCAAATAAAATAAGCATTAAAAATTGACACCCAGGGATTTATATTTTAGTGGCAGGAAACAAATAACAAATTGAAAACTGATCTATGTCAGATGGTGAAAAGGATGATAGGGAAAGGGTGAGGGAGTGCAAGGGAGGAGGTAGGGCACCTTTACTGACAGGGTGGCATTTGAGTGAGACGTGGAGTATAGGGGCAGGTGGAGGGAGAGTAGGTTTAGTCATACGGACGTCTGGGAAAAGAACATTCCAGGCAAGGTGAAAACCACTGCAAGAGTCCTAAGATATGATGGTTTTTTTTTTTCCAGATAAGAGGTAGGTAGAATTTAGTTAAGCAGGGGATTACTTTAAAGAGATAAGCTCAAGTGGTATGTGTGTACAATGACATAGGTAGAACAGTCAGTTCATATCGGGCCTTGTAAATTATGGTAAGGTCCTTGGCTTTTTTTCTTATTGAAACAGAAGCCACTGGAAGCTGACCAGTAGAAGAGTAAGGTACTAACTTAGCTCAAAACAGATCGATCTGCCTGCTTGGTACATAAGAGTATAGTGACAAAGTGTAGGAGCAGAGAGGTGGTTAGGACCTCCAGGCAAGACAGGCTGAAGGCTTATGAGAATGACAGGAGGTACCCTTGCAAGTGCTGGGAAACAGATTCTGGGATATATTCTGAAGGCAGAACCGCCATGACTACAGGAAGCCCAAATGTAGGATATAGAGAAAATTAAAGTAAAAATTATACAAAGCTCTTGGTGTAATCAACTGGAAGTTTAGAACTCTGATTTACAAAGATGTCAAAGATTTGGAAAAGCAGGTTTGGGAGATAAAATATCCATTTGACATCAAAGGTAAATCTGAACACTGAAATTACATAGAAGAATTCAACATTATTATTCAAAAGAATATAGCCTCCATAACAGTATACTATTCTAATGTAACAGTCACTTATTTGGTAATAAAGATATTAATACAATAAACTTTATAATAAATCACATATGATCTGAGTTTAATATCTATTTGTTTCCTTTACTGGAAAGTTTCACTTATGCTGGGATTTCAAAGATAACCTGGCAAAAACCTATGTCTTATGTAATGTTTATTTTAACTGCTATACAGTTACTGTAATACTATTTTATTTTTTTAAGATTTATTTATTTGAAATAGAGGCAGAGATAGAAATGGACATAGATATATACATAGAGATAGCTCCCATCCACTAGTCCACTCTCCAAATGACTACAAAAGCCAGAGCTGGGCCAGGCTGAAGTCAAGAACCAGGGACTTCATCTAGGTCTCTCAACACGAGAGGCAGGGTATAAGAACTTAGGCCAACTCCCCTTGCCTTCTCAAGTGATTAGCAGGAAGATGGATTGCAAAGAGAGCAGCTGGGACTTGAATCAGCACTCTGATGTGAGATGCACACATTGCAAGGAATGACCTAGCCTGCTGTGCCACAATGCCAGCTTCTGATTACCGTATTTTATAGGAAAAAAAAAGTAATACCACATCTGTATGGTAACTCCCTTACCATTTCGCAAGCAACCATAGAAGCTTGAAATATTCAAAACATCAGACCCAGGACTTTTCATCTTATGAACAGATTCCATCTTGAAGGAACTGCAAAGAAAAAAAAGATTTAAAGGATAATATTTAAGAGGTAGCAAAAATACTTGAAGATGAATTGAAGATACGACTTCTTGAACAATTTAGCAACTGCAGGAGTTGAACACAAATGAGCTGTAGCAATATCTTTCCCATTAATCTGTTTTCTGAATATTATTTCCCCATTTTGCTCCTATCTCTAACCTTAATCTCAGTTGAATTGCAAATACCAGTTTACCAGAATTATCTGTGATCCCATTTTCTAGGAGGGCACAAGCTGCTTTGGGTCACATGACTTCTGGGTAATGCAGCAAATTTCTGAATCCAAGAATATTGACACTGGCCAAACAATTCTTTCCAGGTACCATTCAGCTTTACCATGGGCCAGTGTTTCAGTTGAAGGCGTTTTAGTTATTATCGGAGATGCATTCATAGGCAGTTATTTTCCTAAAATTCTGTTAAGTAATGTTCCCAGTTGTTAACCATAAAAGGACTTCTCAGCCTTCCTAAGCACAGTAAAATGTCAGTGAAGTACCCCAATTTGTTGGAAGGATTTGGTGTGACAGACCCGATATACATTATTCTGATTTCTTGAAAAATACCTAGGTTTGGACAGTAGATCAAATCTGCAGTGACTGATTTAGAGAGGTAGCCTCAAATCCTGACACCTCCATTTCATAATTTATTTGTTTTAAAGAAGGATTTCTTAAAAGAATCAAATAACATGTGGCAAAATTTAAGGGCCATTTAATGAAAGGCATTGGAAAGCCCATAAGCTCCCCTAAAGGGTACAGACACATCCTCTGTATCAAGAACAAACTCACAATGAAAACCCCTGGCAACTAATGACCAAATCCCTCACCTGCTCTATGGCAACACGGGTAGGCAAGGAAATAAAATTTGTTTCCAGCCCAAGTTTTTAAGAATCTGAAGAAATATTGCTGATCATCTACCCCAGCCACATCATTTTGTAAATTAGAAAAATAAGCTTTGGAGAGGCTAAGTGACCAGGCCACAGTCAGACAGCTGGTGTGGTAAGAAAGCCAGGATTTGATCACAGGTCTTCAAACTCTAAGCTGACTGCCTTTCCTGTAACCATACTCTGATGCCATGTCATTTCCCTGGCAATAAAAAGAAAGGAAAAATAAGAGTCTATCTGGCTGGCGCCGCAGCTCACTAGGCTAATCCTCCGCCTTGCGGCGCCGGCACACCAGGTTCTAGTCCCGGTCAGGGCTCCGGATTCTGTCCCGGTTGCCCCTCTTCCAGGCCAGCTCTCTGCTGTGGCCCAGAAAGGCAGTGGAGGATGGCCCAAGTGCTTGGGCCCTACACCCCATGGGAGACCAGGATAAGTACCTGGCTCCTGCCATCAGATCAGCACGGTGCGCCGGCTGCAGCGCACCGGCCGCGGCGGCCATTGGAGGGTGAACCAACGGCAAAAAGGAAGACCTTTCTCTCTCTCACTGTCCACTCTGCCTGCCAAAAAATAAACTAAAAATAGACTCTTTTTTAAATTTTTTTTAAGACAAGATTTAGGCATTAAAAGCTAAGAAAAAAAAAGCAATTAGGGGGAAGTTACATGGAGGAATCAAGCTTTACCAGTCCCTGGTTTCTCATTACTAGATCCGCCATGCAGAAATTGAAAATCTTGCAACACACAAGCATCACAAGGTGTAGAATCCTAACACTGACCCCTCTACCGCCTGTTTGGATTTGCATCAGACCGCAGGACTGCTGAGGGCAGGGAGTCTATTATACCATGCCCTGCACAGGTGTTGAACTCACTGACCTCTTCTCAAAGAACAGCAAGTTCAAGGACCATCTAGGCCATGCACTGGGCAGTCGGAGTCTCTCCTTAGGCTTTCTCAGCTTGCCTCTCACTCTGATTATTCTCTTTACTCTGCCCAACTACACACTACAAATGTTTTTCCTTATTCCTTTATTCACTGTTTTCTATGTTTTAGCATGTTAATGAGTCCTTATTCAAGTCAAAAATTTATATTTCTTCTTTAGGCCAGTGGTTAAGAAGTTTTGTAAGTAAGTACTTGGGGAATTGTATTCAGTCCTATAACTGAAATTCAGCAGGAGAAGGTGAACAGAATCAAGGCTTTTAGTCAATCAACCTCTAGGATTCAACTGGTACTCAGTTCTCTGTTAGCCTAAAGGAACTGAATGACTGTTGAGTGATACTTTCTATCCGTAAATCTCAATGTCCTCACCTAAACAATGAGCAAAATTGTAGCACCTATATCCCAGTGCTGTCATGTGTAGTAAATGAATTATGTATGTAACCCTATTACACAGTGACTAGCAGATATTCAATACTTGAAAAAACAATTATAATTACTAAACTGTGCTTTCTATACATAAAATAGCCTCTTTTATTTTAATATGCCAAAATATAAACTAAATGGTATGTTTTGAGGGATGAAATTATCAAACATTTCTTGATATATATATAAATGCAATATATCACCATAACCATTTACTTAAATATATTTGTTCACGTTTAATTAAAAGTATAATGAATTTCAAGGTGTCAGTCTATGTACATATGTATGACCATATATAAATTTCAACATTTTTACATCAAAATAAACATTTTGAATTCCATTTTCCAGGAATTTTTCTAGTATATACACACATTTGTATGTAACCATCTCTTGACTCACTTAGCATCCAGAACTAAGGCTTTTCTAGAATATGCTCTGAAAACAATGGATATTATATTCCTAAAGGATTAAAAGGAATATTTTTCTACATATTTTGAATTAAAGTTGTTGCATGTTTACCACCCATGGGAAGGAAAGGAAGAAGGAAGGAAAGAAGAGAGCTCACTGAGGTAACAATGATATATTTTTAAAAAATCCAAAATTAAAAATCAAAATCTCTATGCATGGCTTACCTCTCAACTCCATAGGTCAGTTCTAAAGGCACGTTAACTAGTTTATTAATTAAAAATAATTTGCTCAATAAATAAACTATAGTTTTTGTCTCTTGCAAGGAATCACAATCATTTTCCAATCCTCTTGGTATTCCAACATGGTTTGGAAGAGTGGCTGAGTATTTATTTGACAATTCCAAAACTTTTCTGGAAAATAGATTGACTCTTGAAGAGTCTTTCATCATTTCAGTATTGCATAAATCCCAACCGGGCAGCATTAATGAGAAGTAGTCTCTATCTGAAGCGAGTCCTAAAGAAACAGGGCCCTGAAGCTTTAAAATATTGAGATGCTTAATGCAGAGATTATCTAGTTCTTTGTCCACTCCCCATGGCAAAAGGCAAGACAGAAACAATTTTGCTGTGTCTACTGTGAGGTTGGCATCAACTTTTCTGGATAGCTTAGAGTGCATCATTTTGGAACTCTTCATTTTCTTCGGCCCTTTAATGCCATCATTTTCTTCAAAGAATTTGCTAGTATTATCCCCTGGGGCCAGGTTTTCCCCAGCAGGCATGGCCTGTGCCTCTGCAGGGAGGTGACTACAGGCAACTTTGTTTCTTTTCATTGTCTTCTTCTCCACTGTGCTCTTGGCCCTTCTTATGATCTCATTACCATAGAAGGAGCTGGAAGGGTCGACATCTCTGAGTGGAGATGGCAGCAAATGTTCAACAAGTTTTTCCAGATCAAAGAGAAGAATGTAAAAGCCAACATTACTCCATTTTGTCTTCACAGGCAAGACGCTAAAAGGTTGTGAGAAAAATGTGGCATCAGCAACCTAAGGAGTAAACAAAAATATTTGTGTGTCAAAATTCTCCTTTTTTTTTTTAAAGTTATTTTAGTAGAGGTCCCATGCTAGTCGAGTAGCATAATAATAAGTACTCATTAGCAGTGTAGCCAAAGACAAATATTTCCATTTTTTCTTAGCCATAAATATTACTTTGTAAATTAAACATCCTGTATTCTAACATATTGTGAAGAAATTCTCTTCCTAAAAGTTTCATTTTTTTCCTTTAAATGTGAATTTAAAGGAAAGATGGCACCAGATTAACATCCTTTGATATATATTACTGTCACAAAGACACATAAGGAAAACCTACATTTGAAATTTAAGAAGAAAAACAGAACACCTGCAAAAATTTAGGGAGCATTTCAACAGGGATAGTTCCTGAAAATTATGTAGTTTTACATACTTGGAATTAACCTAAATATTAACCAGCATCAGACTGCTTTAAAAAGAAAAAGAACTTACCTTGTGATCTTGTTTTTGATTTTGCCCCCAAAGACTGGTACAGTGGGTCCCTATACTTCTATTACGTCCCTCTATATTAATGAGGCCTTCACTGACTGCCCCTGGCCCTCCATTACTTTCTATCTTTGTTTTGTTTTTCTTGGCAATTGTGATTACCTTACACTATATGAAAAATCTGTTTATTTCATGGTTTCTCTACTACCATTCAAATCCCACCTTTTCAGGCATTGGGTATGATGCCTATTTCTTGCAAACATAATGATCCTACTACATGGCACTAATAAGAGGCTCAATTAAGAAATAAAGGCTCAATAAATACTTGCATTAATATTTAGCACAGTTAAACAATGGAATATCATGTATATATTTTTAAATTATAGTGTAAACTGTGTCAATTGGTAGGGAAAAATGCGGCTGATTAGACAGCAAAAATAATACCCATTTAGTAAAATAATGTATGTGTATGAATATACAGATATCTGAATGTTGATACATGTATATGCATATACATAAATTTGTACATATGTAGAATATATTTACATACACACAACTGTATATATATGTGTGTGTATATATTATATATACATATATAGTCAGAAAGGACATGCACCAAAATGTTAAAAGCACTTAATTAGGAAGAAGAAATTAAATATATTTTTATTTGTATTTTATGTTTTTTAACTGGTTTCCTGAAAATGCTTACAGTGATGATATTTTAGTTTAAAATCATAAAAGAAAGTTTGAGACAAGCCATTAAAATCAAGAACAATAAAAATCAAAATGGAGAATAAATTATAAAAACATTTTTATACCAAAAAGATAGTGCAAAAGTTAACTAAATTAATGAATAATTTTTGCAGGTCAGTAAGACTACCATATAAATAGAAAAATGGGCAAAGAATTCCAGAACCATTCACAAGGAACAATATTCACATTAAAACACGAAAAATTATTTACCAGTATAGTGTCAATGTGAGATTAAGATAATATCACTCATCACCTATTAACTATGCATAGAGGGCTGCTTAGATTATTTTATTATGCAATCTTAATTAAATGGCCAAATATTTAGTGTTTTTACTATTATCAAGATACAACTGAAATGTTACACAGCAAAAAACATGGACAAAACTATACAATATCACAATTATAGTATTCATAATTGTGCTAAAATCAGAGACAACCTAAATATCCATCAATGGAAGAATAGAGAGTAATATTAACATACTTTACAATTACATATATAATATATATAATTGTAAACAACAAAAATCAAAGGCCTATACTAAACTGAACAGCATCTGCAACACATATCAATCTCACCAACATAATGTTGACCAAAGAAGCCAGACACAAAATTATTAACTCTTGATGATTTCATTCCCATTAATTCAAAACCACAGGAGAAAACAGAGCAGTAAGATTTAGGGATGCGTGCAATAAATTTACAGAGTGGTTAACTTTGGAGGATATGGAGAGCAGTTTCCAAGGTGCATGCATATTTTATTTTTTAATCTAGTTGGTAATTATCTGGGTGCTTTGGGACAATTCATTAAGCTGTACTTTTTCTACTGTGTTCTATTTTATTCTATATGAATTATATATTTTTTGGTAAATAATGCAAGTGAATTGCACTAGGAATATTAGCAAAGGGCCCTAATTCAGGTTAAAAAGTAGACTGTTGGGGCCAGCACTGTGGCATAGAGGGTAAAGCCTGTCATAACCTTAAATATGTATTCCTAACTGACCTATTTAATTCTGCATGATTTTGATTTTCATATGAATGCTAATAAAGTTTTAAAAACTTTCCTTGATTTTCATCATTTACCTCAAGTATTACACTTGATTCATATTTATTAATAACTATAGTTTTTTAATTTCCATTACTATGAAGCATTACATATTATGATAACTAGTTTATTTACCTATGTTTTACAGTTGACGTTTATTTTTTAAGATCTGGTGTGAAAGAGAAAAGCTACAGTGAATATTCTCCTAGTAAGACTTCCGGTGCACACTTGCAAAAGTTTCTGGAGTGGCACTGATAATTCACAGGATGTGCACATCTTCAACTCTGAGATTCTCCTACAGGTTTTCTCAAGTGACTGTTCCCATTTGTCATATCAGGAACACTGTACATCGCTCCACTTCCTGATAACACAGGCTTTCTCATCTCTGTCAAGATGGGGAATATAAATTGGTATTCTTAATTTTAATTTTTAATTCCATTTATTTAATTATTACTATTAAGAGTATCATCGTTAAACTTTTATTGGACTTTCATGCATGTTCTATAAAATACATACTTTTTGCAAATTGTCTTAACCTTACTTTTATGAGTTATTTATTTGAGAAATAATCTTTTGTTAGTTATATGGCCCAAATATCTGCTCCTTATTGTAGCGTGTCTCAGTGTTTTTTGATGAACGCTGAGTTCCTACTGCAATACTCTCAAATTCAGGAAGCATTTACTTTAAAGGTTATATGTTTTATGTTTTTCTTTTAAAAACATTTCATGTTTTTCTTTTACTCTACCGAGGGGGAATAGTTACCTGTATTTTTTTAAAATGTACTGTTTTATACAACTTTTAAATCTTTATTTTTTTTTTCATTTTTGCATTTGTTTGCAACAGGGAAGAATTTTTATGTTTTTCCATTTTCATTTCCAACCACTCTGGATTTATCCTTTTCTCATTGGTCTTTGTCACCTAGGGCTCTAATCAACTTACCTGTTGCTACACAACAGTGTGTTGTACAATAAAGTTGGAAAAAGACTCTACCATCTGTTTGGTTCTGCCCATGGTCTGCCCATCGTAGTCTGCCTATGGTGTTTACTCATCAAGTAACTTTGCAATCAAGTATGTCAAGCTCTAGATTATATCTGCTGCTGACTTAGATGTTTAATTTTTTTAGTTTTAACTGTTCAAAAATGATTTTTATATTATAAGCTTACCAATTGTTTAACTGAATAAGCACCTAAATCTGAGGGTTCATTTTCATTTCTTCAGTATTTTTCTTGCCTCTTTTTTATTTCTTACTAGAAATTTGCCAATTTTGATCCTTTTTTCTATTAACTGAGTTTTAACTTTGCTTCTTCTCAATGGCATAGTGTTTCTTGAAACAGTTGAGTATGCATTTTCAGTTTTATTTTCTTTCAGTATTTTATAAGTATTAGCCTGCAGTTTCTGGCCTCCTTGATGCGGTCAGGAAGTCAGCTGCTGGTCTAACTGTCACTCCATCTGTCTTTGCTCTCTGACTTGCGGAAGATCTGCTGCCGTTAATACGCCACAGCTTTGCCTTGATGCTTCTAGCTTTGGATGCTGACCCCAATCCTGCCTTTTGTATGAGTGTCCCCTCCCATCTTCTATTAATCTGCTGAAGTGCTCAGACTAATCTTGCTGCATATTTTCTCTCCCCACCCTTTTATCCCCGTATGGAACTTGGATTAGGTATTTGAGAGAGGCTCTGTCCTCTGTGTTTCCCATCTCTGTGTGTCTGTTTGTCAGGCTGGACAATCTCCTCAGCCAATTTTCTTCTCACCTGTCTAATTTGACACATAATTTGCCCACGGAGTTTCTTGTTTTGATTTTTACATTTTTCATTTCCAGAAGTTCCATTTGGTCATTGAAAAAATACTAGTCATTCTTATAGGCAATTATTTCTTACTCACATTTAAAAATGTCTATTTCACATCCAGTACCTATAATTACAATTTACAAAATCTTTGTGGGTGTGACATTTGCTGTTTAATTTTGATATTTTACTGTTTCCTTATGTTTTGTCAAAGTGTGCATGCATGCGTGTGTGTATGTAAAATATCAGTGAGAGTCCTATGAGACACAGGTTGAAGGTACAATCTTCAAGAGAGGATTGTGGTTTTTGATTATCAGGTAACTAAACATATTACCAACAAGGCCCTCTTGGATGAAGATTTCTGCCTGGGTGCCGGCACAGTGGCCTAACTGGTAAAGCCTCCACCTGCTATGTCAGCATCCCATACGGGCACAGGTTCAAGTCCCAGCTGCTTCTCTTCCCATCCAGCTCCCTGCTAATGCATCTGGACAGACAGTGGAAGATGGCCCAAATGCTTGGGCCCCTGTACCCACGTGAGAGACCTGGAATAAGCTCCAGACTCCTGGCTTTGGATTGACCCAGCTCCAGCTATTGCAGCCATTTGGGGAATAAACCAGTGGATGAAAGATCTCTTTTGCTTGCTCACTCACGCTCTCTCTCTCTGCCTTTCAAATAAATAAATAATAAAATACTCTACCTAAAACTTTTTCATTCCTCCCATGTAGTGTGAATTCTGACTCCAGGATTATGGTTACCAATTATCAGGCAGAAGTGCTTGCCCCATCCATCTAGAGCTGAGGCCAACGATGGCTAATATGTTTGGTCTCTCCTTTCATGGAGCGTATTCTTTCCTTTGGTTGACTTTTTTACTCAATATGAAGCGCCTGGTGGATAATGGATTAATGCAGCAGCGCCCAACCTAACTTCCTGTCACTGACCTGAACACCTATGCT